ATAATTAAAATAATGTCTCCTTGAAACTCGTTTAAAACATAAATCTGCTGCTGCAGCAGCTGCTGCTGCAGCTGCTGCAGCAGCTGCTGCAGCAGCAGCAGCAGCAGCAACAGCTGCTGCTGCAACGAACTGGTGCTGCTGTTGCAGCAGAACGACCTGCTGCTGCAGCAGCAGCAGGAAAAGGAGTGAACTGATCAGGCTCTGCTGCAGCAGCAGCAGCATCATCATGCTATGCTGCTGCTGCTTCTGCTGTTTATCTAAGAAGCAGCAGCAGCAGCAGCAACCCCTGCTGCTGCTGCTGCTGCTGCTGCTGCAGCAGCTGCTGCAGCAAGAGTTTTAGTTGAGAATGTCTGGCAGCAGCTTGAGCAGACGATCGAGTATTTGCTGCTGCTGCATGCGTATTTCTTTGGGCGTGGGGATAGCAGCAGCAGCAGCAGCAGCAGCAGCAGGACGAGAAGCAGCAGTATTGAAGATATTATTTAGCTGCTGCAGCAGCAGCAAAGCCTCCTCCTCTAGCTGCTGGTATTCTTCCCATAAGCGCTTAGCTATCTGCTGCAGCGACAGCAGCTCAGCAGCAGCAAGGTTGTCTTCTTTAGCTAGCTGCTGCAGTGATTTGAGTTTCTGCTGCAGCAGCTGCTGCTGCTGCAGCACCTTCTGCATAGCAGCAGCAACAGAGTTTGCTTCTGCTGCTGCTTCTGGCGGCAGCAGCAAACCCTCAAACGCCTGCAGCAGCTGCCGCAGCAGCGCCAGCAGGTGGGTTATGGTGTCTTCTATTATAGGAAATTTAGTAAACCCTAAACCCTCAATTAGGGTTTTGACGAACCTCTCTATACCCTCGGGGGTTAGGTCGAGAACAGGCAGCTTGCTGCTGTCGTTGCTGCTGTTGCTGCCGTTGTTGCTGCTGTTGCTGCCGTTGCTGTTGCTGCCGTTGTTGCTGTTGTCTGGGGTTAGGGGGGGGTCATCTGTTGCTGTTGGTGGGTCCTCGAGGTCACTGTATGCTGGTGCTGGTTTTGCTGCTGCTGCTGCTGCTGCTGCTGCTGCTGCTGGTGCTGCTGCTGCTGCTGCTGGGCCGCTGCTGCTGCTGCTGGGGGAGAAGAGAGATAAACCCCCCATAGAAAGAAGCACAAACAGAGGTACACGCGCCATCGTCAAACCCTAAACCCTAAACCCTAAACCCTAATAAACCCTAGTTTATAAAATTAAAAAAATATATAAAGAATAAATATAAACAAAGAAACACAACAACTTATTTGTTCTGCTGTGCTGCTGCAGCAGCAAACGCAACACAATATACAAACCAGAAGCAGAGGCAGCAAGAGAGAGAGAGAGAGACAGATAGAAGGGTATACATCAGCAGCAGCAGCAGCAGCAGCAGCAGCAGCAGCAGCAGCAGCAGCAGCTAGGCAAGCGACACACACGCTATCTATCGTCTTTCTTTCGCACACACACACAACACACAAATAAATAAAAACAGTTAAACCCCTTTCTAGGGTTTACGGTTTAGGGTTTAGGGTTTAGGGTTTAGGGTTTAGGGTTTAGGGTTTAGGGTTTAGGGTTTGGGGTGACCGCGCTAGCGACCCGCTCTGTCTCCTCTTTGTCTCTTCGTTTCGTTTTGTTTTCTTTTGCTGCAGTTGTTGTTTTTATTTAGATAAAATATTTATTTTTTTATTTTTATTTTTCCTTTTTAAGGGTTTAGGGTTTAGGGTTTAGGGTTTAGGGTTTAGGGTTTAGGGTTTACGGGGGCTCCTGCCTTCGCTCGAGTCACCAGCGGGGGGAGGGTTTAGGGTTTAGGGTTTAGGGTTTAGGAACAAAGGAGAGACAACAAAGATAAGCAGCAAAAAAAGAAAAACAAGAACCCTAAACCCTGCAGGGGGAAGACAACCCCAAACCCTAAACCCTAAACCCTAAACCCTAAACCCTCGAAGCGTGCAGAGCCGTCGCCTCCTTTGCTCTGCTACACCGCCCCAAGTAATACGATGAAGGTGGCTTACAGCCGCTTGATTAGGGTTTAGGGTTTAGGGTTTATTAGGGTTTAGGGCTCGAGAGCCTAGGGTTTAGGGTTTAGGGTTTAGAGTTCAACTAGGGTTTAGGGTTTAGGGTTTCGCCAACAACTAAACGCAATGAGGGTTTGCGAGGTTCACCCAAAGAGAACGTTTATGAGGGTTTAGGGTTTACGAGGGTTTAGGGTTTATTAGGGTTTAGGGTTTGTAAGGGTTTAGTGTTTATTAAAAGAAGGGTTTAGGGTTTAGGGTTTAGGTGGAGGCAGACTTTGCTGCCAAACCCTCAAACCCTAAACCCTAAACCCTAAACCCCCCAAAACCCCAGAAATGAAAACCCTAAACCATAAACCCTAAACCCTAAACCCTTAAACCCTCGAGGAGCAGTCAAGGCAGCCGAAATGCTACTTCATTTTGCTGCTGCTGCTGTTGCTGCTGCTGCTGCTGCTGCTGTTTGTTTCATCAGCAGCCTTTATTTTGAAGGAGCAGCACAGCTGCTGCAACAGCAGCAGCAGCAGCAACAGTAACAGCAGCAGCAGCAGCAACAGCAGCAGTAGCAGCAACAAAGATCTGCTAGCCTGCTTCATTCAGATAGCCGCTGCTGCTGCTGCTGTTGCTGCTGCTGCTGTTGCTGCTGCTGCTGCTGTGGGTACAGACAAAACTGACACTCTTTCGGTGCAGCAGCAGCAGCAGTAGCAGCAGCAACTGGAGCAGCAGCAGCAGCAACAGCAGCAGCAACAGCAACAGCAGCAGCACCAGCTATTTAATTTTTTCTGGATGAGGGTTTTCTCCTGCTTCTCCTTTTTTCTAATTCCCTCTGCAGCATCAGCAGCAGCAGCAGCAGCTGCTGCTGCTGCTACTACTACAACTACTCCTGCTGCTGCTGCTGCTGCTGCTGCTGCTGCTGCTGCTGCTGCTGCTGCGGTGTATCTTCAGGGTTAATGGCGGAGTTGATGCTGCGGCTGCCGCCCAAATAAGAAGAGGAGACAGCTGGAAATAGGCTGCTGTTTCTCCCTTTTAGTGTGCTGCAGCCAGAACCCAGAGCAGCAAAACCACTCGGTTGCTGCTGCTGCTGCTGCTGCTGCGCTGCTGCTGCTGCTGCTGCTGCAGAGGCAGCCGCTGCGGCAGAGTGCTGCTGCTGCAGCAGCAACTCCGTCTGCTGCTGATGAGGAACTGCTGCTGGGGCGGGCTCGCGGTTGCTGCACACAGCCATGCAGCAGCAGCAGCAGCAACAGCAGCAGCAGCAACAGCAGCAGCAGCAGCAGCAACCGCAGCAGCAGCAGCAACAGCAGCAGCAGCAGCAGCAGCACAAATAAAATATATATATAAATATATAAGTAAATGTACAAATAGATAAATATATAAATATATAAACAAATATATAAACATATAAATAAATATATAAATAAATAGAGAAAGAATGAGACAAACAAAGAAATAAATAAACAAAAAATAAAAAAACAAAAAATAAAAAAACAAAAAATAAAAAAATAAAAAAGTAAAAAACAAAAAGCACAAAACAGAACAAACCAAATCAAAACAAAACAAACCAAACCAAAACAAAACAAAACAAAATAAAATAAATAAATAAAATAAATAAAATAAAT